GGGGGAGTTCGAGTTCAATTCGAGTTCGAGTTCAATTCGGTATTCTACTTCTGCTAGGGGAGGGGGGAAGTTCGAGTTCACTTCGAGTTCGAGTTCAGTTCGAGTTCGGGTTCAGTTCGAATTCAGTTCTAAGTTTTTTTTGGGGGGGGAGGGGGGGAGTTCGAGTTCAGTTTGAGTTCTGTTGGGGTACATTATGGTCATCTTCCATGTCCTGGGAGGCCTGAAGCTCGGAGGTTTGTCCCTGCTGGATGGAGGTGGTTCTGGATCGACGGCGAACTTCCTGGAGAGGCTGAGACCTCCGAAACTGCCTGCCCTCCCAGTAAGGATCAGCGGAAACTACAACCCTAGTCCGAGACCTGAACGCTCGACAATGTCATCAACCTTCGATCAGAACGCATGCGCAATAGTCTAGTGTCACCTGATAATGATACAGAACATGTGGCGGATGTTCAATCGGAGCACACCTGAGTAGGTTAGCCGCACCTGATAGTAACACAAAACATGTGAACGGACCTGATGAGACTTTGTGGCTCGCTGCCACATGGTTCATCCCTCTCGCAACTGCCGGGCAAGTTCTTCAGTACCCTTGAGTCCGAGGTGAAAATGGGGTAATCCAGCGTCGTCACGACGACTAGTGTATTGTTTCATCACAGTCACTGTGATTCCAGTGATCCTGGACAAACTACTGTGGAAGACCCATTTCTCGTCCTTCCGCATGTGTACCGCTCCGGCTACCTGGCATCGATTCTGAGCGTCTGATCCGCCACCTGACTTCATCGTGAAGTGACTGTCTGCGATAAGACACTCTCCCAAGACAATCAGAGGCTGCTTCCCTTTCCCTGATAACGCTGCGCGATCACGCAAGGAAGTGATGGAATCCGAATCGTTCCACAACGTGCCTTGGCTATAGTGTCCAACTGCATCATCACCGTCTGCATAAACTGCAGGAGCGACAAACCGGTGTCTAACTATGCCTGCAATCCCACCTGTGTCGGTGGCGTGGGCGAACTGAATCACACCTCTTTGGGAATCTGTCAGAGCAGGGTTGAGGCGTGTCCACGGTTCAGCCAAGTAGAAAATCCAATGTACGAACATGGGACTCTCCAACACTCTAGCTCTGGGGAAGACCTGTCCGATCCGAATGTCCGCACCTGAAAAGATACTGGCAAAATACCGAGCTTCGAACTCCGGAGGGGGTGGGATGTTGCTAGCAGTGCAAACCTCCAGAAGCTGTTGGATGTTCTTACGGACCTTGGACTCATCCACCGATGCATATCGAAGAGGTTCTTCCCAACTTTTCAATCGGACGGACTGTGCACCCCAGCCAAGCCTGAGATGTTAACTGCCGCGATCTGTCCGGACCCTGAACTCGGAACAAGCACCTGTGCTTCACGGTAAATGTTTGAGGAAGGCGTTGATCCCTGAAACTCTCTCATCGAGGAAGAAGACGGCAGGTGATCAGAAGTGCCCGCCGGTTCATGATGCCTAGGCTTCTTTTCTCCCACGGGAAGTTCAAGTTCAGGAGCAGGTCGTGCAAAACGAGGGACAGGCATTTTCTTTACAGGGGGTGAGGAGCTTCGTGCACTGCCTGAAGGTTGCTTCCGCAGAGAAGTACCTGGTACAATCACCGGTGGAGAAAAATGCTGCAACACCCGATCACTTCCATGCTGACGAACTGTTCCAACGGTGTTCCTGTGCTGATCTGAAGTCGGAACTCCTGAGGCATGCGGAGGAACTGTTCCACCGGTGTTCATGTTCGGATCTGAAGTCGGGACTCCTGACGTCTGCTGATGGTCCTGAGCGGCATCCATTTTTTCGGAACCTGAGAAAATTGCCCATGAGGGAAGTGACGTAGGTGGCGGAGGGGGCGGCGGGCCATCCCCTCCATCAGGACGTGCCCACTGAGGCACATAGGTGGGTCTGCCCTTCGGTCGCGTTCCATATCCTGAACCACCAGCGGATGAACCTGCTCCTAGATCTCGTGACTTCGGTGGCATGGTGCTCGAATGTCCCGGTTTTGGTGGAGTCGGCAAAGAAGTTCCTGTGCCTGAAGCCGTTACTGACCTCCTGAAGCGGCTACTGACACTGGACCTCCTGCTTTCGACTTCGGTACATTCCTGTTGCGGAGAGATGTACGACCAAGCAAAGCCTCTGGAGTAGGAACGCTGTCCTCCCTGGGGCCATAGTGAAAGGTAGGGCGATCCGACATGATTGCTCAGGCTCTGTGGCCTACATCGGCGTCTTGTGGAGTCCCACCTCAGACTCCTGCGCTTGACTGGGAGACTAGTCCCTTCCATGATTCAAGATTGCCGATACGGCTAACTGCCCTTTCGCCACCTTCAGGGATTGCCTTCATCCGGAGATGGAAACTAGTTGGTTAGCAACAAGGCCACGCACGGCTAATGAGTTGTATGATCAGTTCTTGTCCGTGATTCTCATTGGGGGAGGCCTGCTGGTTCAGATAGAACAACGTCCTACGCACATGACCTGCAAATATGTAATGCAACTGTTGACATGACATGCAGATCCTGGCGTGAAACTGTGGACATGACATGTGTATCCTGACATGAAACTGGTTTCCATTCCGTACATGACCTGAACATGTGCAGCGCAACTGTGGACATGACATGCAGATCCTGACGGGAAACTGGCTTCCACTCTGTACATGCAGGTACACAAGGGTGATCAGCCCTTGCTTCCACTGACTTGCCATAGCTTCGTTGGACCGGATAGGCAAGTCAGCTCCGGCCCCCCTGCAGGAAAAATATGAAAACCATGGTCCTCCAGTAACCCTTAGCTTAGAATCAGGGTGTACACACACACAGACAAAGACACACTTAATAACAAAAAACACAAATACATAACACGTTGAAGCATTACAAGCCACAATTTGTGCCGAGGGCAGGGTGCCGAGGCATCAAGGGGCAGTGTGCCAATTTGTCAATGGACAGGGTGCCAAGGCGACGAAAAGGTTCACAAGAACAACTTCTTTCAGGTGGATACTTGCAAATGGAATCAGTGCGGCGCCCTCAAAAACATTGCAAAATTGACTGTTTCTATCTCATGAGCACAACAGTTCAGGCTAGAAGAATCTCGTTGAGTGCTTCGCGTAGCACAACATAGCACGACAGCAGATCCAACAATCAAAGCCAAGTGGCATGTAGCGCTTGCAGGACACTTGGTTGAAGCCACCATCGATGCAGACCTCCATGCCACCAATACCACCCAGACCTCCACACCAAAGATGTAACCACCCAGACCTCCACACCAAAGATTTTAAGTGGATTGTAACTTTCTCATCCTTCGGCCTTCTGAATACAGTGTGCATTCTTCTTAGAGTCTGCTCGGCAAAGCGGGCCTATGCGGGCATGCAAGGCATGCGCGTACCGTCACGTACCCCGCAATGTGTCTTCTTTGCTTGGGCACAGTCAAGGCAAAGGCCGACGTGCGCTCGATTGCGCTCGATTGCGCTCGCCGCTTCGGCTTTTTGCTTTCGGCTTGGTATCTCAAGGCACAGGTTGAAGAGCTCTCACCGCCAGGCCACCTGGGCCATCAGCATCATCATGTGGTCGGGCAGTGAGGAAGCCAGGAGCGGGCACAGGTGCTCGAGCTTGAACACGTGTTGGCACCGGTGCTGGCACCCGCCGAAGTGGCCAAGCCACAGCACAAAGCCCGGGCAAAATGACGACATGGGGAAAGCTTGAACTGCCACAGCCTGCAAAACAAATCATCAACACAGCACCTCTTCTCACGTGAGCTAAGTTGATCTTAGTGAGGGAAATCGCTCAAATATACCTCACCTCATCCCTCAAGACCATTGCTGGCTGAAGGAATGACCAACCCCACTAGCGTTGGGTGCTTCGCTGCTTCGCGTCTGCATGCGTCCAGGCGGCAAAGCTCCAGGAGCTTCTCGCGCACATACGGTGCCCGGACCTCAACAAAGAGATCTGTAAAGGCCCCCCAGCCCGACGTGTTCGTCGAGGCGCATAATCCCAGTGGAAGACACAAGGGGTGCCGGGGTGCGTCAGGATCAAGGCGTAGGCCCTCAACACCTGCAATTAAGAAGCAAAACAAAGCTGCAAGCTAAAGCTGGCTAAAGCTGTTAAAGCTTCAAAAGAGCTTCAAGGCTGCTGAAAGCTTGTGGCAGCTCGCTCAGCAGCTGGGGTGCCTGACCTGGTCGTTGTTCCCGAAGCAGCCCCCAACCTCAATGCCGCAAAAAAGCTCCGTGGACTTCTGAGAAAGTTTGAGGCTTGAAGATCAACCGCAACATTCTGGAATATGGCATAAGGATGATGCTTCTTTTTCGATGATGATGGCAATGATGAATGTGAGAAGGCAGATGATACTAATGCTGCAGACCATGTGAATCGTTCCGGGGAGCCGGATGCAGCCAACGTTTTGTGGTTCTGCTCCTGTACAGAAGCCTCAGCCCCATGGGTGGATGTGCTTCAGAACGAGCGCCATGACCTTGAGGTCGTTTTCCAAGATTGGAGATCGCCTTTTTGGTGATTCCACATGCTCGCCGTCTTGGGAGTGTTTTCGAAACACTCTCTGAAGTTGGTCGGTACTGCAGAGATGCTCAGACACAGGAAGACTGAGCATTGTGATGGTCATTGAGCCAACGCAGAAACAAGAGCAGTATTAGTTTGGACCTCTAAACTCTAGAGACGGTGAAAGATGGTGTATCAGGTTTCTGTACGAAAAGCCCGCCTCGAAACAAGCCGGGGAAAAGCACAGGGGGAGAAAAAAACCCGGTCGCGGTGCGTGAAATGCAAAAGAGTATGTCATCCCTGTACCCTCTTCCCCAGCGGCGAACCAAAACAAACCAACCCCAACAGCCAAAACCAACCAACCCAGCAACCCAGAGAGGCCAGGCAGGGGAAGAGGGCAGCGAGGCATCAAAGCACGGGGCGGGAAGGCAATACAGCCAGGCGGGAAGGGGCAGAGGCGCCTATGACTCATGAACCCGAAGGAGCAGCAAGGTGCGCCCCCGTGCAGAGGGCATTCGCGCATTTTTGAGAAAACAAGACTTGAAAAAATCTTGGTGAATAACTCTGTAATGCAAGCAGCTCAGAAATATTTCCAAGCGAGTTCTGCTGGGCGCGAAATTTCGGTTTGCATGAGCTTTTACCCTCAGTCATTTTGGAAGGCTTCCGAGAATTTCCTGGGCTTCCTCGATTTCCTAGGCCGAGTGGTTTTGGAGACCCCGGTCGACTAGCCAATACTCCAGAATCACTCCAAAACCAATCTCAAGGCACTCAGAGATCATTGTCAATCCTGGCAGCTTTGCCGTCATGAGTGAATTTGGACTCTTTTTGGTCGCGCCTGCTGCAATGAAGTAAATTCAAAGTAATTCTGGTGATATCTCAGTGATTCTGGAATCATTTTGGAGCAATCTGGGCCGGCCTTCTCAAGACTCCCAGAGAGTCACAAAAAACAAAGCCCACCTTGTGAAACCCTTCGGAATGCTGAAGGCCAGGCAATGGCCAGCTGATAGGTGTCATGGTTGTCGATGAAGGTACCTGGACGTCAAACGAACAGCCAGTATACGCTTTTGAGTTAGGCTGATTTAATCACGCTTTTGGCGCACAGGACCGTGCAGGATCCCGGCCCGCAATGCCCGCAAGGCGGCCGCCGCAATTCAACTCCTTCCAGACCCCACCAAAACAGGAAGTACGCCACGTATCCCC